CGCCCTCCGCCTCGCCGCAGCCACCCGCCGCCGCCGCCCTGCAGCCGCCCTACAGCCGCCTGCCCGGCACCATCTGGAGCTACACGCAGGTGCGGCGCACGGGCGGCGGCGGCCTGGAGACGCTGCAGGGGCCCGGCGTGTCCTGGGTGCACCCGGACGGCGTGGGTGTGCAGATCGACACCATCACGCCCGAGATCCGCGCCCTCTACAACGTGCTGGCCAAAGTCAAGCGCGAGCGGGACGAGTACAAGAGGAGGTGAGTGCTAAAAAAAAAGCTGGCGGGGGCACGGAAAATGGACCCCCCCTTGGGGGTGTGGGGGAGGATTTCTTCGGATATATTTCTCCGGATAAATGGCAACATGGGAGCCCGGAGTGGGGGGGTTGTTGCTCTGGGGTGAAGCAGGGTAAGGAAAGCAGCACCGGGGATGCTTGGTCCCAGTCAGGTACCCGGCTGCCGCGCACACCAGGCCGGGAGCGCTTTCCTGGCATCCACCCCAGCCCGGCAAGGCCCAGCTTGGCCCTGCATCGGAGGAGCCGTTAGGCTAGAAATGGGTTGAAATGGTGGAGGAAGGAAACAGTGGGCCCCCCCCCCCCCCTTAAATAAGTCATTTTTTTACCCGCCCATCTGAGCCCGGTTCGTTTGCTAGCCCATCTGAGCATGAGCTCAGCGCTGCAATCTCCGGGCGGCAAGCACTGCAGGGGAAGCTTGGCCTCCAGACAAAGCCTCGGCGGTGTTCGGTGTTCAGAGCCCGCAGCTTGGGGGGGGAAAGCAGTGGTTGGGCTCTGATGGGGCGGGGGAAGCCTTTAGAGGCAACCGAGTTTGTCTGCGTGGACCTGATTGCCTGATGCGTGCACACTCTCCAGAGGTATCGGGTTTGCAGTGGGGGTGGGAAGGCAGCAAAAGAGGTCAGCCGGGATTCTGCAGGGTTTCTTCTGCAGTGTCTGAAGAGTTAGCTGTCCTGGGCTCATCACCCGCTGTTAGATTGTGGTTGAGAGGGGGTATCACTGTGACTTGCTCAGAGAACACATTCAGACCTGCCTTTTGTGCGATCCAGAATGACTTGGCCATGTGGCCTACCGCACGGCCTGATTGCTTTTGTCCGGCACAGCAGCGTTGCGCTGTGTCCTTTCCGAGCTCCTCGTCTGTCACATGGCTGGTGATGTCCTTGCAAATCGGTTGGTCTGAAAAAGTTTTCGCAGAGGGGCTGTATTGGACTAGCTAAACTGGGAGGCATGAGAGATGTGGGTACTAATATCTTCAGGGGTTACTCTAGGGTTGGGACCAATGTGTCATCTCGCACTGTCTGGATTTATCTGTGTATCTAAATATATGGGTGCAATTCTTTTATAGCACAGGGTCAGATACAGGATTGCATGAAAAAAATGCCTGCATAAATGTCACTTCATTTCCATCTAGCTTTGAACAGCTCAGATTGGCAAAGCAGTGAAACTTAATAGATGCAACATTAAAACAGGACTTTCCTTGCATCTTGGCCTAGCACCCATGAAAAAAGTCTGTTTGAGAACAGAAACTGCTTCAGGAAATCCCCCATCTAAGGTTCAGATGGCTTTCAGCAGCATAGTCAGGAATGGGGGTGGGGGACTCGGCATGAAATTTCATGTTAAAAACTGCTTGAAAGTCTCTCCGGTTTGGAGAAGGTGATGTTTCTGTAAGCCCCCAACATCTGGAAGCGAGTTTTCCAGTCCCCATCTGTCGTCCTCAACTACCAACCAATTTGACCTGGTATGCTTGTGGCTCCTCCTTGTCTACTAAGAAACTATTGCCTGGTTCTATAATGTCTTCCTACCACTAAGATATAGAAAATTTGCAGCTTAGTTTGGTGGCCAGGGTAGACCTCAACATTTGAGGGGCATCTGGCCTGTGTCTGTGTGCGCTACAGTAGACAGCGTCATGCTGTTGGGTTGTTTTGTTTGCATGCTTGATACCAAGGAGATGGAGCAGACACACATGGGAAGAACTTAATGTTCAGTGATGTTTCATCTAAGAAAGCTATGCCTAGGATGTGGGTTATGCCATCTGTATCTAGGGCTACTTCCTCTTCTTGATGGATTATGATCTTTCTTCCGGAAGAAGTGGTTTAGAGGTGGTCTTGGACTGCTTTTAGTGATTGGGTTGGTGTGCAGCTTGTTCTACCTGTGGAGTTTTACTGTGACACAAGCACCTTTAAGTTGGCATCAATGTATAGCTAGTAGAGGCTTGGACTGCTTGAATTTCTTGGTTTCTAAATTGGATGAAGTGCAACTCATTGTACAACCATCACTAAGAGTGTCTGCTGTTAGAGTTAACACCCTGCCTCCCACAGGATGCCCTCACCCTGCTGCAGAAAGACTAGCTTAAAAAGCTGTAATTGGACTGAAAACCAAAAATGGAGGTTAACATTACATTTGCCATGTTTCTTTCATGGTCTTTGTATCTGTTACTTAGTAACAGTGGTGCTTACTTCCTCTTTATGTCTGTTTATGACCTTCACTGGTCATATTTAGACTGTGTGTGACATGCTCCTTGGAGAAGATTGTCAAGTATGCTTTGTGTACTTTAGGAAATAAGTTATAGTTTTATTGCAGTTCCGATCAGATGTCAATTGTTTTGTTCTTGTGCACAGTATTTCAACCTTTGCATTTTGTTTCTGCAGGAATTGTTTACTTCCCAGACTGCCCTTTAATGGTTTTTAATACATTGAAATACATTGAAATTCATTTAAGTGTTTTCCCCTTTAATGTTTGTTTACTTCCCTTTAATGTTTTTAATAGACTTAGGTTTTTTTAAAACCACGCTTGGGGTTTATACACAATCTGGTGACTGCCCCTTTAACGATTGTATTGCCCCTGCAGGGGGGTTTCTGGGGAAAGAATGCGGGCTTTGCGCTTTTTGCTTTGGGTACAATACTAAGGTAGGTGCAAGGCTTAATTCTTTGCGCGCGACTTTGTGCGTTTTCAGCCTCGACTCCGCCAACGTAGAAGATGATGACTGGGCACTCACTGTGAACTTGCGTGCACTGTGCATATGCAGTCTTTCCTCTTCGTAACCTCTCAAAAGGCAAAATTCTGTTGTCTTCTCATGATGTTGAGGCAGCAGATTTTTGTATGGGTTCTCTACATTATTTTAGCAAATGGCAGCTTCCTTAAAGGAAAAGAACTAATATTTATACTTAGAGGCATTGAAATGACCATGGCTGCTAGGTGTTGTATTGCATGATCTTAGATGCTGTTTTCCTCCTGGGTCAAAAAGTACGTATTTAGAGCAGGAGAGTAGAAATAGTCTGATCTAAATTAGCCTTATCTGGCTGGCCAGTAAGCTGCCACCTGATGGTTCTGAAAGTAGGATTGAATGTATTTTTAATGTGGGATGCACACTAGACCCATGGTTAAAGTAGAGATATCTTGATTGTGCTGGGCGCAAACTCAGCCTTTTTTCCTCTTGAAGGCAGGGCAGGGTGGCATCTTAAAGACTAACATGGCTAATTACCTCTTTGTGACTTGGAAGTAGTGCTAAATATAACTTCTCAGATTCAAAAGTAAAATACGGCAGCTTTGTTTATAAATTAATCTTCAAAGTATAATTACCATGCAGCTATTCAGTTGACTGGGATATCTGTTGTGATGTGGCTAACCTGTTGTTTATTGTTAAGTTATTTTTTTTAAGTCAAGTCCACAGGCTACCGCTTAGGTAGGTGATAGTACGCGGGGAGGGGATTTACAGTGATAACATGCAGCTACTTCATGGGCTTCTGTATTTCTGGAACTTCTCAAGGAGAGATTGTGAAGGCATCACAAGGTTGCAAAGCTTTGGGGATCTTCCTCTCCAACAAAACAAATAAGATTAAAACTTCAGACAGGAACAATTCCAAAAAAGAGTTGCTAAGGTTAAATATGCACTGCCTTAAAGTGCATTTCTGGTTGATAAGCACTCCGGTACCGCTATACCTGACAGGCAGTTGCATTCCTTAAGTTGCAGGCCCTACTGGAGGGTAGAACAAATACTGCTAAATCATTGTTTTAATTCCACACAAAGGTATGCAAATACTACTTTATTTAATTTTACAGTGGCCATAAAGTTTCGGCGCTGAGGAACCAATTCCTGTAAGACTTCTGAATCTTTGTGACAAACAGATAAGCCCCTATTAATTATCTGCAGTAAACTGAGATTGGATGGGGGGGGTTGGGATCTTGATTAACACAACTGCATCCTGAAACTAGCTCTTTGTCTCCATGAAATCCTTGCAAGCATGTAGTTACATATATGATGTTTAATGGTGTTTTTTTTTTAAAAATGTAGCAATGAAGCTTTCTTCAGTATAAATATGGAAGCCATGATGTACTCAAAAGCTGAAAAGCACAGTGGCCAGATCAAGAGATGTCTTGGGAAGAAAGAGGGAGGTAAAGGTAGCTCACAAAATGTGATGGCCATCAATGATGATTCTCTTTTACATGAGGTTTTACAGTTCTGCTGCCTTGAGGAAAACTTTGGCACGACAAAGCTGGCACTCTAAATTGCTACATTTGCCTTTTCTTCCATCTCACAAAATTCAGTTGGTTTTTTTTTTTTTTACAGTTATGGCAGCTTACTGTGATGGATAAATGCCAGGTATTCCATCCTTCACTTTATATTTTATAGTCAACAGAATGCTTGTATCGTGGGTTTTTTTTTTTTGTTTTTTTTTTTTAAATCAAAACAGGATTTAAACCATATACCTGAGGAGGTGTTCAGGCTTTTTTAATTACAGGTTGTCATAAAGTGAAATAATGGGTAGTGGTATAAAATAATGATGCGGTCATAGAGCAGTCCAACTTGTACACATAACGGGGTTTAGTCTATCCTTAATGTTGTGTTATGTGCTTGCCTGACTAGCAGGGTAATACTTTGGGGGTCCTCCCTTAGGCTTTCAGCAGTTGATCTAATATAACTGGGATCAGTTGGAGTCAGAGAGAATACATTTCTGTTCTAACAGCACACTTAGATAATTATATCTGTTTTCCTGGGTTCTAGGAAAGCCACCCATGTAATCTCTTATCTCTTCAAATAGTCAGGTTATTACAAAGCTAAATATTTGAGGGTGGCACTCCTGGTTTCTGAACAATATTAATAATGCATTGCCCAGAATTGTTCTAACATAGTATTCATGGTACAAATAACTACTCTTATTAAGGAACTTGCTGCTTTTTTTTGTCTTTTGCCCATGGCATGGGTTCTCACTTCTGGCTTTTAGGTCCATGTGCATCATGATATCACTGTAA